ATATATAATGTGTGTGTGTGTGTGTAAAAATTAAAATTATGATTTTAGATAAGTAAACACATTGGGGCGTTGCATATATTATACCCAATTTGTAAGCATTGCATTTTAAACACGTTAATTATTTTTTTAAATATTTATACCATCTAAATTTTTCTATCACATTAAAAATACCATCACTTTAATTTTTAAAAAGTGAAATAGGACTTTTTATGCATAGGCCAACAACAAGATATATATGTAAAAATTATAATTTAGGAGTTAAATATAAATATACATAAGAATTGAGTAATAGTGTAAATCTTCCATATACTTAAGTATTGGAATAAAGTGCAGTATTGGAATAAAGTAACAAAGTTATCCCCCACTATTTAGATCTGGTTGTTTTAATTTTAGGTCGAGTTTATAGAAGTACCAAAATAATCTAAGACTATTTTAAAATTGAACTCTAATAGTCCTTCATCAAGATTATTTCAACGCCAATTTAAAAATTCATTAGCCTGCACTTTTATAAAACTCTATGATTAAAATAACCTCATGTAAATATTGGGGAACTATTTTGGCACTTTACTCGCACAGACTACACTTTTATACTCTATGATTAAAATAACCTCATTTAAATATTGGGGAACTATTTTGGCACTTTACTCGCAAGTATTGAGTGGTATGTAACTAAATCTTCCTTAAAAATGGGGCTTTTCGATGCATATTATATTACCATCCATATCCTATGCATTTTCATACCTAAACAGAAATTTTAATTTTACATTTATATTACCTTCATTTTTCATGTCACATAAAAAGTATCACTGTTTTAAATTTTAAATAATAAGACAAATATTTTCATACATAGATAAGGTGATATATGTAATAATTAAAATTTTGATGTAATTTATTAAAATACATAAAGATTAAAAGGTAAGTTTAAAGGAAAAAAAAAAAACTCACTTGAAAATCTTTGTTGACCACCATCCCAACGGCACAAACGAGCGTCGCAAAAAAGCCAATAACAAATTGCATCTCCATGACGAGCGCGTAAGTGACCACCTGCTTCGCCCGCTTGTACATAAGCTCTACAAGCGGCAACACCATGCTGTATATAATGGCCGCCGAAAGTGTTACCGCAAACCCCAGATAGTAGTCGGACTTCGATTCTCCGTTCGGCCGATCCCCATTCGCGTGCACGCCGAGCACCACCGCACCAAACGTCAGCAGCACCACCGCATTTACTGTGAAAGAACTGAACTTCTGATTCACGATGAAGAAGGCGAAGATGGCGGTGAAGCCGAGCTGCATTGAGATGAGGAGGGAGGCCGTGGAGACCGGAAGGAAGGCGAGGCCGAAGGAGTAGAGATAGTCCACGATGCCTGCGTCATTCAGTCAAATTTTTTATTATTCATTTCAAGATTTTGAAAGAAGCTTTTTGGGGCTGTTCTGCTTCTGGATGTTAATTTGTTGGAAAGAAATTTGGAAATTTATACCTAGCACACAATTTCTTATATATTTACATATCTCACTCCTAATTAAACTTTCATATTTACATACATCCCATTTAATATGGTGTTTTAAATTTCGGAAATTTACATACAGGGCGCCTAATTCTTATGCATTTTATCAATCTCGCACCCAAACCCTCGTTTTAACAACTTTATCAAACAGAAATGTGATCATTAACATCTGAAAATTAAACTTCTATGAGTACCTGTGAGGAGGCCAATAATGGCGCAACAGAGCAGGAGTTTGGGCGTGAGCAAGAATAGGCGAGAATGAGCTCGACGACGGCGGAGGAAGGAGAAGAGCATGGGGATAAGGAGGAAAGGGAAACCGGCTGTTTGAAGGAAGCCGGAGAACCACTTCCGATTGCCTCCATGGAGGAAATAGACTCGGAGGATGAGGGGGCTGCCGGTGGCGCCGACGAGGAGCAGGAGAATGTTAACTGCGAGGAGGATGAGTCTCTTCATTCTGGGTGTTCCGAGGTTTTTCATATCAACAATGTTCTTGTTGGGTTGGAGGATTTCTTCATGATTTTTGTTTTCTATTTCCATTTCTCTCTTCGGTCACTTGTGGTTTAGTTGCTCTGTATTGCTTGTTTGATTATTTGACATGCTGGGGGGCTATTTATAATTTGATTTTTTTTTTCTAGAGATTTAAGGTTTAGCTGGCTGGTGAAA